CACTTTTGGTAGACGGTGGCCATTTTAGAAAATGGCCCCATTTTAATGTATTTTACTATAACTTGAAAAATAAGCATGGTCACTTTTGGTAGAAGGTGGTCATTCTGAAAAATGGCCGCCATTTTAACGTATTTTACTATAACTCGAAAAGTTGTACAGCGATTTTGTTTATATTTGGTATGTGAATACTAAAAGCATGTCTGATGACACTTTTGGTAGACGGTGGCCATTTTCGAAAATGGCCCCATTTTAATGTATTTTACTATAACTTGAAAAGTAGTTCAGCGATTTTGTTCATATTTGGTATGTTTCATATTTTATATGCGAAAACTATAATCATGGCACACTGTCTAATGACACTTTGGGTAGTAGGCGGCCATTTTGAAAAATGGCCACCATTTTTACGTTTTTTACTATAACTTGAAAAGTAGTGAAGCGATTTTGTTCATATTTGATATGTGAATACTCATGAGCCTTGCACACTGTCTCATGACACTTCGGATAGTAGGTGGCCATTTTAAAAAATGGCTGTCATTGTTACATTTTTTACTATAACTCGAAAAGTAGTGGAGCGATTTTGTTCATATTTGATATGTGAATACTCTAAGCATGGCACATTGTTTAATAAAACTTTGGGGAGTAGTCGGCCATTTTGAAAAATGGCCACCATTTTTACTTGTGTTATTTTACAAGTACATGAGTGCGATTTTTCAAAAATTTTATAGGTGGCTACTTAAAAGAATATTATTTTTTCTGATGACAACTTGGCTAGTGAGCAACCATTTTGAAAATGGTGGCCTTTCTGGTGTGTTGTTTTATGATATTTGCTATATATTTCGTTTGTAAAACTGCCAGCCATTTCTGTTCGATGGGATTCGCTACGCTTCGGCGTTGCCGTTGTTCTGGTTGATATTTGGTCATGGTTGGGCGGGTTATCATTCCATTTGCAAAGTGGGCCAAAATTAGCTTGGGGCCAAGTTATAAACATCGGAAAGTCAGCGTACGGAGCCCGATGCAATATTGGAAGAATACATAAAACCAATGCTGACAGTATCCTTTTCATTCAATGTACCGAAAAGCCAAATTACTCCTCTTTGCAATGGAATATCATTCATTCACAGGGAGTCATGGCTGGCTGAATAATCATTTATTTTGCAAAGTAGGGCAAAATTCAGTTCGGACTCAAGTTTCAAACATTGCAAAAGTCAGTACAAGGGATATAGGGGCTATTGGAAGAAGGTGTGACAGGTGTGGCATAGACAGTGAAGTGTTCATACTCATACTCTTGCAAGAATACATCCTATACTTCTCCAAATTGCCACCACTTCCTTGCACATGCACTCATTTGTCCACGTCATGCATGGTTCAGCCCGAGTCATCTTTGGGTTAAAGCAGAGAAAAGCAGCCTATGGGCAATTCTTTCTCGAGGTTTCGCAATATCTGGTGAAGGAATTGTGAGCACAGATGCTCCTGAGATAGCTCCAAAAGAAAAACTCACAGCATTTCAAGTCAGGGGAACTCCCATTGGCATTTTGCAAAATCTAAAACTTGGACCAGAGCCGATTTTGACCCACTGTGCAAATGGAAGGATTTCTCACCCATCATTACCACATGTGAATTAAGACATATCATCGCAAAGAGGAGAGACGTTGCTTCATGGTACATTGAATGAAATTGATGTGAGTCATCACTAGTTTTGTGATTTTACGAGATAACTACCCGTTGCGTTTTTTTGAAACGCCCTGTATAACAGAATTTATCAAAAAGTCTCAGATGTACATGTAGGCCTGGATGCTGAGGTGATGTTAACACGGATATCAATGTCACATGGATGACATGGTGATAAAACGTTAATTTGTTCAAAGTTATACTATAAAGGTGATGTTAGTCACATGGAAATAAATGTCACATGGATGTAGGAACTCTTGGGTTAAAGTCCTCGCTTCATCAACACTTAATATAAAAATACAATGCTATTTATGAACTATAATAGCTTGGTATGATAAATAGTACAAGGTGTCTCAAAAATGTACCCAAAAGTATATTAACACCACGGTTAAACCAATCAATATTTATTTTATAGATATTTTGTAGATATTTTTGCATGGTCATGTTGCTAAAGCATGTAAGTTTCCTTCCCAATACAAAGTTTTCAGCTCAGTCTTGCATTTTGATGATTTAACCCTTTACTTTTTACTTCATATTTCGATGACAGCCTGTATCCTTGTGCTACATTGTTCATCACATTTGATAATATTTCAGGTGGAACATTTTGAATTTCTCTTTGGGTGTTGGCTTTATGTTGTTCTAGGTCTTTTGGTTTGGGATTACCTTAACATGCTCCTTCAAATAGTCCCAGAGAAAAAAGTTCCAAGGTTGAAGATGGCTGAACAATCACAGAGAACCAGCTCAATTATCGTCAAATGATTTAGCGGTTAATTGATAATGGAGTTCCATCTGCCAGAGTTACAGAGACTGAATGATATCCAAATGAGAAAACTGTGGTTCCAGACAGTTTGAGCCCCTCCATGTACAGCAAGGGCCAAACAAAAATTCCCATGAAAGCAGTTTCTTCTTTCTATATAAAGACAGTGTGAAGGCCTCCCTATTCAACAGATTTGACACCCCAAACATTTTCTACCATGTTTATGTTTATCCCAAAGCCAAGAGACATAGAACAATTTGAGGTAAACATGTGAAAGGAAATTCAAAACATTCCACCAGAAACATTGTCATATATGATAAACAATGTAGCAGTAAGGATGCAGGCTTTTATCGAAATGTAAGGAGGTTAAATTAAACACATGGTATAAAAAGGGTTAAAGCATCAAAAAGGCAAGACTGAACTAAAAAATTAGTATTGGAGAGAAAACTTACATGCTTTTCCTAAATGACCATGCAAAAATATCTGAAAATATTGATTGATTTATCTTTGCTGTTGATATACCTTTGGTTCATCTTTTGAGACACTCTAGATAATAAAAATTGTCTCTTTAATGTCACTGCCAGTAATCTGACAAAATGAGTGAAGGGAGTCGATTTCTGCTAGAAAATTCAACAAATAAGATTTCCTTCTTCAAAAAGCATATACAATGGTAAAATCGGTTAGGTTTTAGGTGTAAGAATGGCTCAACGTCACCAGCATGCAAAAAGTCAATCTTTGAATCCTCTTCAATGCAATAATTCAAAATGAATGAGGCTTTTAAAAATATATTATTTTGATATTTTTTATAACATTTTGTAAATAATTCAAACAAGGCATAAACATGCAAAATGTCACAACCTACCATTTGTTACAGATGCCAAACAGATGTCAAACGCCGTCTCAAAAATGGAGACAAATGGAGAACAATATGTCACCGCTTTTGGTGGTGACATAAAAACAGCAATGACATACATTTTGTGATATAATGTCATCAATTTGTATTAACAGGTTATGTAGATGATTACTGCTTGAATCGCAGCACAAATATTAATGTTTGACCAGTCATGATGTTTCGTCCTTTTAAATAGATTGATGCCTATGAAGCAAATCAGTTTAAAAATTCATGTAGATGTTCACTGCTTGAATTGCAGCACAAATATTGATGTTTGACCAGTCACGATGTTTCGCATTTTTAAATAGATTGACGCCTATGAAGCAAATCATTTCAAAGATTTATAGATTACATAACAGATTTCACCATACCATTCACCCATTCACGTACTGATTAATCCATAACTTTCTCACAAACAATAAATCATGTTACAAAATCAAAAAAACTGTTTTGACCCCTGTCAATGACAGTCAAAATTATGAATTTCTATACACCAACTAATTCAGTGACATGTAAAATATATATGTTTCACTCAATAAGCTTGAATCAGCTTTGTTTCATTTTTGTTATTTCAGTGTTTTATTTATGATTGTCAAATAGTAACGTTCATAGCAGCTGCCTCAAAAGCTGAATTACTTTACTAATACTCATTCAATTTTGAATATTTTTTTATATTACTCATACCTCTTCCATTCATAGAATAAATGACAAACTATGCAGAAACTACACCATCCAACCTCAGATCTAATAAATTTGTTGCTATACTTGGAAGTTCTGAACCCAAAATAGATTGATGACATCATAATTTATGCAAATTAGCTAATTTGCATAATTGAATATCGTTACCATACCGTTTATTCAATTAGGATCAATTCGATACCAAGATCTCCTCTATAGACCAAATAATGACAAAGCTACCAAACATTTCAATTCTAAGGTAAGATGTTTAACGTTAATTGTTCAATGATAACGTTCATGGTAGCTGCCCAGAAAGCTTAATAACTTTGTTAGTTCTGATCCAATTTTGAATCAGTTTTCACTTTTATGTTGCTTAAATCTTCTGCTCATTGAATAAAAGTCATAACATTGAAGAAATTCTACCGTACGGCTTCAGTTCTTAAAGATACATTGCTATACTTGAAAATTCTGAACGAAAAATAGATTTATGACGTCACAATTTATGCAAATGAGCTAATTTGCATAATTGAATATTTTAATTATATGAGAAATTTATTTAGGTTTAATTTGATACCAATATCATATCAATAGACAAAAAAATGACAAAGCTACAAATGATTTAAGATTCCAAGGTAGGATGTCTATAGATGCGTAACCATGGTAACGGAATGCTACAATACAGAGCAACCAATGAGAGTTTCCAAGGGCATCCGGCAGAAAATTGAACCTCAATATGTTACCTTTCAGAAAAGTATGGATGCCATAAATTAACAGAGACCGATACGTTAGGTACATTTTTTGAAACGATAGAGAGGCATGGGTCTCTAACTACAATATCAATGTATTAATGCCCTTATTTCTTGTTCAAAATATTATGCTCTAAAACAATTGAAGCAGGATGACTCTTTCAATAGATGTATTAATGCCCTTATTTCTTCTATGCAAGCCTTGTACCTTGGCCTCTTTTACCAAACAAGCACATCTGTATACCTATAAATAACATACCTTGAATGCTGCGTATTTCCTGTACCATAAAAGAACAACAATCACTGTTACTATGCCTGAAAACTTAAACCAACATGGGTGTCTCTTAAACCTGCATATAAACCTTCTAGGGTTCAAGCTTTTAGCTATTTTTGAGATCATGATTCAAACTGTTCATCGTATTTTTGCTACTTTGACACTAACACAACCAGTCAAAATCCGCAAATAACTAATCTGACTTTCATTGAGTAGCACATCTTGTTTTCCCAAACTATTATGAAATACGGACTTTCTCTTAAATATTTCCTCGTTTTGAACATTAATGTTATAGATGTATGGATAACTGATTTTGGCATACTTTCGCAGGGATTAAATAATTGTCACATTTGCATCACTATCACGATCAAAGTCTGTCCTTTGGGATAATTATTAACTAACAAATAACTGAATGGAATATTAGTATAGACAGAATGAACTTTGTAACACATTCGGCTCCAATTCAAATATTATACTTAAGTACACAACACTCTAAGGCCAGACAAAGAAATGAACCAACATCAAGGCTCATTTAAAATAAAGGCATTTTCTGAATTTTGTGATTTGTCTGTTCAAAATATATCTATATTCCATTTCTATTATCCCACTCCTGCTTTTGTAAGAATTCCAATCATCTCAAAAATTTTACCGAAATTTTGAAATTGAAATTGAGGAATTGCATTCAACATTTTTAGTGGGCAAATATTTATATTTATCATTTAATTTAACTAATTTACTTTTTTCTTTCTTAGAAATATGTCTTTAAAACTTTCTAAACTTGAGAATTTCTAAATCATCACAACTCATTGAAGGTTACTAATTAGTAATCCAATAACAAAGAAAATGAAAATACAGGCAATATTTTTTCCTTGGCCTAAATCTGTAAATATAGTGGCTAATGAGAAAGCACTTATAAATATTATTAATCAAACATACTCTAACATTTCTTGAGTATTCTACATCATACAAATAACAATAGGGACAGGATGAAAACGAAAACAGCTGCTCCTATGTATTTGTATACTATTGGAATGCAAGCTTGAGAAAAATCAGCAAAGAATGAGACGTAATGAACTAAAGATCAAAGTTGCTTGACTGCAGTACATGTGTGTACATGTAAAATAATTCTATGTCTGAGTCCAAAGGTGATTAGTTTGAATAACACATTTATAATATATTGAATGGATTGGAGGATGAGATATTATATGAGGAAATACAAAATGAAACACAAACTGCAGCTCCCAATCCTGCTTTTGGGAACAATTATGCTTATACTGGTAAGGTATCTTACAGTTACCTATCAACTAGTACATTTCTAGGTACCAAATATTTCGAGAGAAATGCGTGCCATTTTTCAAACGCTCCACTACTTTTCCAGTTATAGTAAAATACCTTAAAATGGTGGCCATTTTTCAAAATGGCCGCCTTCTACCCAAAAGGGTCATTAGACAGTGTGCCATGCTTATAGTATTCACATACCAAATATGAACAAAATCGCTCCACTACTTTTCTAGTTATAGTAACATATGTTAAAATGGTGGCCATTTTTCAAAATGGCCGCCTTCTACCAAAAGTGTCATTAGACAGCGTGCAACGCTTATAGTACGTATTCACATACCAAATATGAACAAAGTCGCTCCACTACTTTTCGAGTTACAGCAAAAATCATAAGACAACGAGAAAAGGCCGCCATTTTTCAAGATGGCTGCCATGTGCTTCTTAAATATCTACATTTCTAGCTTTATTAATGTCCTATATAATTTTTTTACGCTTAAAACATATTGCTATTACAGCTTTACATATTGCACCTAAATTACTGCAAAATCAGCACTAAAATGGCCGCCATTTTTAAATGAGTGGCCATTCTGAAAATTGGCTTTCGAGCAGAACTTCTACTCCCATAGGGTATATGTGTACAAAATATGAACAAAATCGGGCCAACGGTATTTGAGTTATTGCCCGGACGTACGTACGTACGTACGTATGTACGTACGTAAGTACGTATGTACGGACGGATGGACTGAGGCGTTCCCTATATCCCTCCGAACTTCGTTCGATGGGATAATCATCACATGAGGTGTCCTATGGCTTTAGTCTCTGGAATGGAAGTGTTGGTCCCATAAAAGATCTTAAACCAGCCAGAGCAAAGAAGCAAAGAACTAGATGTTTAAACAATGAATTGAAAGAGTGAATGGGGTGTAATTAGTTCAGCTTTAGTGCACTGCATGTGAGAGTCAATAATCTTTTGTGCCACACTTGTTTTGGATAACTTGCCAAGTGTATATTCTTTAGAAACATTAAAAAATAATGCACTCCTCTTTGTTATAGCTGGACATTCTTAAAAATAAAATACAGTTCATTTTATTGTTATCAGAAATAATCATCCAATTTCCATGAAATACCCAAGACTCATCGTTTATCCATAACATACATAAACTATTCACTCAGTTAAACAATAAGTATTCACTCAATAATACTCTGCTTACAAATACCATTCTTTTTTCGTAATGTTTATTGTTAAACGACCAAATAGAAATTATTAAACTTCAGATAAATATCTGGAGTCTATTGTTTTCAATCAAGACAATTATATGGTGAATTATTGTTCAATGATAACATATTTCAGTATTTCAACCTTCTTTCACCTTTCACTGTTTCATAACATGAGGTCCATAGATTCTGATAATAAAAGGTGAAAGTAGAAAAAATTGCATCGACTTAAAGTGATCAACACTCAAGGGTTCACAGGCTCGAGGCCATTGGGTCAACACCACTAACTGTTATATAGCATTAGTATATTATAGATCGTCTGACATTTATAAAAGGGAGATTTTTATTTTGACAAATCAATTTCACATTTATGGGTGATTAGTTTAAGGATCTTCTTTTGTGTATAATAAGGAAAAATTGACATCTAAATTTCCCCATAACGTATTCGTACACAGCTTGAGATATGAAATATCCTCCAAATGAAACAAAGCAGTTCTAATACAAGTATTTATATTGGATGTTGTTCATGCATTCTTTTAACAATCACTGTCTCAATGATGTTTTCACTTATTGTGTTCAATTCTGACAGTTGGTTGTTCTTTTGGTTGTCCTGTTGATATCCTCAATATATTGTTGATATCGTGCTTATGATTTGGTCTCAAGGTATATCTAAGGTATATATGATGTTTTATGAGCAATTATATTGGGACATTACTGATTGTCCAGAATAGAAATCTGGACGACTCGATCTCTTTAAACGGATTACTTCTCCAAGACAATTTCAATAGTCTGGATTGTACAAAACCCCCCCATATTTCTTTAAAATGGACTGATCCAGTTGACTCGCCTGGAACCACCATATTGTTTTTATACGGAAGCTTATCGGAACCCTTTAAGAATACTCAAGGAAGACACTTAAACCTCAAAACATTAAAAAAATACACATGCTTTGCTTTTATTGCAGGTATCTAAAAAAGTACTTACATTCTTCAAGGCAGATGCACACCGGGGACATTTCAATCACATCCACCCGAGAAAAGTTAATATTATAATGAATCTAGAAATCCCACAAAGTCAACTGGAATCATTGAAAACAGTGTATGAATATACATGTGCAGAGCATTTTGAGAAGAAACTTAATTATAGAATTAAAACGAAGCCTTCATTGGATTACTACAGACATAACTGTAATTCACAATATAAGGATGTGGCCCTATTGATTGTTTTCAATACGGCCCACTATGAAGTAATCCCGTTGTTGGAGAATATGTACAGACCATCATTTCCCAAGATACTTTATTGCGGTCCTGAGGAAATACCTCAGAATATTCTAAAATGGTTCAATATATCATTTATCTCATATGGGAAATCCACAGAACATCATCCAGATGGCGCTGCAAACTATGAGTGCCTAACAATGGCATTTTCGCTCAGACTCAATGTCACGGGTTATATATTCCTAGGAGATGATGTAATGTTTTATTTTTGGAATCTAAATTTTCCCAAGAATGACATATGGAGCTCTCCACAGTCAATAGGGGACCTATCTAGGAGAATAACCAAGGAGTGTACATACAACAGAGGCCTCAAGGATTGGTTCTGCCCAGTAGCTAAGTGGCCCTGGTGGGCGGACTACAGATTTGAGATACTTGAGGCCCTTGGAAGCCTTAAAGATCTCTCAAAAGTATCTCCTGTTGTTCAAGAATGTTTGGGAAACTTGATATATCGCAATGGAGCCCATAATAGGGTAAACCGTGGTTATGCTGATATATACTTTGTCCCAATTCGATATGCAAATGAATTCATTGAACTCTCAACAATATTCTGGCAGCACAGAGTATGGTTGGAAATAGCTGTTCCAACCATTCTGAACTGTATAGCAGACAGACGTCCACATGTCCTACCTGGGAAATCTATTGATGACTACTCAGAACTAAGGAATCAGCCCTGGGTCCATTACCCTGACCATATGGACAAAGTATTCTTTCATCCAGCCAAACTTGGCCCAGTTATTGACCAGTCTCAAGATCATATGTATTACTTTTGTGATATTGTCATGCCAGAAATTATCAAGAATACAAAAGAAAATTGTATTTAGTTTGAACCGTATGTTACCGTTCAAGTTTTACATAACTGGGTAAAGAATCTGAACAAGGTGAGTGGAAACAAATTTAATGGGGTACAACATAATTCTTAATTGGGTACTTGGAAGATCACTCAAAAAATAATATTTTAAGAGAGGTTATAAGTTTACATACCTACACCAGAGACATGTAAATAATAAAAACTAGAAATAACTGTATGTAAATCACCACCCTGCTATAGCATGACGGTAAAGCCACCTCTGAAAACGAGGTTGGAGGTTCACTGATTTATCCAATAAAATGGATTATAATTTCCTACTACTGTGTATCAATGAAAGGATGAATGATTTACGTAAGCATCCCATTTGGTGATGCATTTAGTAATGTATATTTTGAATGTAGTCTGCAAATTGATGCCGGGGGATAACATGAAATATGCGAAAAACTGTTGAGTATGAAATTCAAAACTACAAAAAATTAAGTAATTTGTTTATTTTTGTCGTTAAGGCGATGGTCTACATTGTCTAACGACTTCGGGGTATATAGATGTAACCTACATACAATCATAAAAAGCCAATTGAGCATTAGAAACCACCTAATATGTTCTACTCAAGCCATAATAATGTATTTTGAATTTGCAGTTACGCAAAAAATTGATGGACAGTTACGCAAACCTCGTTCAAATATGTTAGATATCCCCGATTCATTGTTATTAGTTTTGTTATATTCATCAGTACTTTATGCTAATTCTTCTTTTGCCTCTTCATTGCCATCTTTTTTACTTTCATTGGTTTTACAAGGGGCGATCCATATATTCTGATAAAAATGCTCTCATTTTGTGATTTTTTTCACATATTCCACTCATTTTTTCAGTACTTGGAAGATTATGTAATTACACATACAATGCTAAAATATTATAGCTATATCTTAAATTATCTTTGAGATAAGGTTGCCATGGTAACTTGTATTTAGGGTAGGCAGGTCAGTTAAATTATAACGTATAAAATAGATAAATTTGTTAATTTAATCATTCCTCGGTACCTATTTCAAGCAGATCAAATGCATATCGAGGTCATTGCCAACTATTCATTGAACTGTTCCATACCCCTGTTGCCCTTGTTTGCTATTTCCACAGTGGAACAGTTCTTTTTTCATAAATTGCATCTCAAATTATAGTAGTGTTATTCTCTGTCCGCAAGCTCTTCTTGCAACCAGATTGGGAATGATATTCAACAGTGACTAGCCTTCCTCAAATTTACAATACTACCTAGAGATCCTTAGAGCAGATATAACACCTTGTTCATATACTATACGAGTCCATGTATGTCTCTGGCAGTGTCCTCTTACTTATTCTTGATAGTACATAAAATCTAATGGTACTCCTAATCTATCTGTTAATGTCACACTCTGCAACAGCCGCACTTACCTCATCTGATCTGTCATTTTGATATTTGGTGTGTCTCATGACATGTAATTCCAATTTGCCCATCCTGTCACACATTGCTAATTGTGAGTTGTTGTGATGTTATAGTGATCACAAATAAACATTTGTTAAGCAACAAACAACGAGAAACAAAACCAAACTTTTTTTTAAAAAATGTATGATTTCCGCATGCTTTAAAATAATTAAAATAACAAGTTATTATGATATTTTATACGTTATAATTTAGTTGACCTGCCTACCCTAATACAGGTTACCATGGTAAGATGTAGCTATAATATTTGAGCATTTGTATGTGTAATTACATAATCTACATTTTCTGAAAATATGAGATGGATATGTGAAAAAAATAGCAAAATGAGAGCATTTTTATCAGAATATATGTATCGCCCCTTGTATAAATAAAGCAAGACACAATTTTTTCCTTGCCCTATAGAGGCTCAAACAAGAGCGTCTCTTGCGAGTCCTGAAAACAAATATAAGCAATTCAATATTCCATTTCTTACCCATTATAACAATGACATGGAAAGAGGCTATCAGAACTAGCAACCTTGACTTGAAAGTAGTACATGCACGTAACCGTCTGCTAAATATCTAATGTACAACTAATACAATACGTTACCGTCCATAGAATTCATACGTAGTTGTCTAACGACATTGCGTTTGAAACCTTATTATTTACAATATACACCACGTTCCTGTTCTGGATTTGTCATTTTATGGCTTGTTTATACACAGTTTACTTACAGTTAATAGTTTGAGTGGCTCTGAGGCAAATATACTGAGAAAACATGAGAATGGACTAAAAATGATGAACTTGGATATCTCAGTCGGTAAGTTTACAGCTTATATTCTGCTTCTAGTAAACCACCTGGCAGATTTGACCCAGTCTTAATAACCATCCATATATACGTAACCGACTGGAACTACATGTAGTTGAAAAGGAAATCTTATCTGTGAATCTTGCCTACAGGCCAGAAAGAGAACATGCTGTCTTTCCCATCCGCCATTTTTTTTATATCGTTACTGCAAAATTTTGCAAATCGCCTTAATGTAACCGTCATGCTATAACACTGTGATCACTGTCTTTTTCATTGCAAACTTATTTTTACTTTTTACAGTACACATACAGGGAATTATAAAATACACGATTGGTGTACACAGTATTTTGAGATTGGAGTCCAAATGGATTTGTTAATTATTAAGCATTTGTATTGATTGAATTTATTTGTTTGTTTGTAACTTGAGTATTTTTTTTTGTTAATTCAAGTTGAAGTTTTATTGTTCCTTATACATATGTATTTTATACTGACTGAAATAAAGCATTTCTTAGTGATACATTATATATTTGTATACAAATAAATATGGAGTCCTATTTGCTAATGTATAAATACCTATTTGTTTTCTGCAATAACTCATGGATAATATGCAAGGTTATTATTCATTTAAATACATTTCATCGATAAAATAACTTGTTTTACATTTACAAATTATGAGTGGTAGTAAGCGAATAATAATTTGTCAGTTTCAAAATATTTCTTGTCATTACAAACATAAAATGGACCTTATTTTGGGATCTATTTGTTTATTTGCTACATCATACATGTATTTGTAATTTAGGCATTTTATTTGTAAATTTTACATTGATATTCATATAAGGAACCTTATTACTAACGAATAATGAAGCAGTTATGACGCAATACTAAAATGTCCTTTCTATGTAATTTGTGAAACTAGAACATTTAGAGCAGTTCAGTTTATATTTTCTAAAATTTTGCAGGATTAGTTTTTCTAATGCTGCCATTGATAGCTGAATATTTGTATAAAAAATGATACAATCTAGAAAATTTGTGTGCAGAATTTTCTTAGTTTATAGTACTTATTCTAACTGTCCATTTCATCTTCTTGTTTTTGTTTATTGTGTAAATGTTCAGATATTGTGTGAAATGGACTTTCTTTGTACTTGGGGTGTTTCAGCACTTGTTGGAATAATCTAATGTCAGCCAATCTGGAAAAGGAATTTTCTAGCTGCAGTATTTCAATATAATAAAAAGGACAAATCATCAACTAGAAAAACATTAACTCCACGGAGTAGCAAATCCCACCGAACTGAACATGTTTTGATAAACAGCGGCCATATTAAATTTGAGCAAAATCCATCCACTGGTATTTGAATTATCAAAGATTATGTTTTTATGAAACATGGTTGCCATTTTGAAATTCAGCTGTCATCTTTAGATTTCTTCTTAAGCACAGCTCCTATGTCCCAGGGCATCAGCATTTAGAATTTAATCCAAATCCATCGGGTTTGTGTAAAACCGGGTGACCGGGTACCCGGTCGACCGGGTACTTAACGTTCCTAGCAGGGTTACCAACTTTCAAAGTTCCACATTTCCCCCGATATATAGTAGTGAATTGACTTGACAGACTTAGCCTACCGAGTGCACTGCTGTTCCATATTTTTACCCTGTACGAGACAGAGCACTTTTTAAAATAATCGATCCAGCAATCCAGCTCAAAGTAGCATATAAGTTCCTAGAAGACGGGTTGCACATTTTCGTTCTTAACACATCTATTATTTGATGGTATAAAAAGAACGTTGTTGTAACGTGTCCGTTAAGTTCGTTAGTGTGGAACACATAACAAACAGGAACATTTGATTTTTTACTACATTGGTCCATATGTGACGTAACTCAAACGTTAAAATTCAACGTTGTCAAAACAGGCTTTTAATAACAAAATATTTGTTGGTGGAAAAAACATGACAAAACCTTTGTGTTCTCATTAAGTCGGTTCATTTCTGACGTATTGTTAACGTTAAAATTTAAAGTTGTCGAAACGTTTTTTTTCGATTTGAAATAACCTCAAAACTTGACGTCAATAATGACGTTCATGGACCGTTTTGATCCGACATTATTTAAATATTCAGCAAAACGTCGATGGATGGTTGAATTTCAACATTGTGGAAATGGCTTCAAAATATTTGTGAGTCTAGGAAACCTTACAAAGACATCAATATGTTCTCACTAAATCGGTTCATTACCGACATTATTTTGACGTTAAAGTTAACGCTGTCAAAACGTTCTTAAGATGTAAAATAACCTCAAAACGTGACGTCAAAAGTAACGAACATGTATCGTCTAGATCCAGCGTTATAAATAAATAAAAATTCCTAACCCTGCTAGGAACGTTAAGTACCCGGTTACCCGGTCACCCGTTTTTTTTACACAAACCCAAATCCGTCAACTGGCACATGAGTTATCAAGGATTACATGTTTAATGAAAAATGGCTGAGATTTTGAGAAATAGCAGCCACCTTGAAAATGTCTTCTCAAGCAGAGCTCATTTATCTCTAGGCATCAGTATATAAAATTCGAAGCAAATCCGTCGAATGGTATTTGAGTTATCAAGGATTACCTTTTTTTATGAAAAATGGCAGCCATTTTGAAATTCAGCTGACGCCTTTGAAATTTCTTCTGAAGCAGATCTCCTTTTTCCCTCAACATCAGAATATAAAATTGTAACCAAATCCATCCACTGGCATTTGAGTTATCAATGATTACCTTTTTTACAAAAATGGCGGCCAATTTGAAATTCAGTGGCCATCTTGAAAATGTCTTCTTGAGCAGAACCTCTTTGTCTCTAGGAATCAGCATACAGAATTTGAACCAAATCCGTCAACGGGTATTTGAGTTATCAAAGGTTACATTCTTTTATGAAAAATGGCGGCCAGTTTGAAATTTAGCTGCCATCTTGAAATCCCTTCTAGAGCAGAGTTCCTATGTCCCTAGGCATCAGCATGTAAAATTTGAACCAAATCCATTCAATGGTATTTGAGTTATCAAAGATAACATTTTTTTACGAAAAATGGCCGCCATTTTGGAATATGGTGGCCATCTTGAAAATGTCTTATGGAGCAAGGCTCCTTAATACCCAGGCAACAGCATATAGAATAAATTATTGAACCAAATCCATCCACTAGAATTTGAGTTATCAAAGATTCTATTTTTTCCTAAAAATGGCCGCCATTTTGAATTAAGCAGCCATATTGAAAATTGCTTCTCGAGCAGAGGTCCTACACCCTAAAATTTGAATGAAATCTGTCTACCGGTATTTGAGTTATTGCATGGACACACAAACGGACGGGCGAACAGACGGACAAACGAATGGACGGACGGACGAACGGCTTTTCTATATCCCCCTCGAACTTCGTTCGGTGGGATAATGAAGTAAAAATTGAAAAATATGTTTATTGTAACATTATCCAAATAAAAGTGGAGTTTTAACTTTAGGCAAATAGACACACAAACAAGATGGCTGTGCAAAATTTAATCAGCTGTAGAACTTTGTATCCTTTATCATGTGTATAAATATGACGAAATCCAATAGCAGATTTTCTGGAATGTGGATTACAAGATTTATCAAAAAACTTCCAAAAATAGCCACCAGAAAACAAGATGACCACCCAAAAGTCACGCCCGGTGATCGTAGAAAATGGATGGAGGGGGGGATTAGGCGATTTCTGCAAGAAAACTCAACAAATTTGAAAGATTTATTTTTTCAAGAAAAAATTTACAACTGAATTGCCTCATGAATAGGCGCAGTGCATGGCAAAATATGTTAGGTCATCTAGTATTTTTTTGGAACTGATACCCTTCTTAGATATGAGATCTATTAAAAAAGGCGCATCATCACCAACGTGCAAAAGTCAATGTTTTTGCTATAAATCGGGCAACAATGGTCTACACGACCTGTAATGAATAGGTATAAGGGACGTTATTATCACAATACTAATGACATTGCTCACTTTTTAAAGTTAGTTTCCATGCGTTATACAAAAAATAATCGAAATAAATTAATATTGGATGGAGGGGGGATCACGTGTATGTAAGACATGATAAGACATGCTACTTGAATTTATTCTTATGACAAATTTTCCCATTTTTCATTCTCCAGAGATATAATATCCAGTTTCTTACTGGGGTACTGAGTTAAGTTTTTTGGAATACACGAGTTCTTGTGAATTTGTTCCATCGTAAAGACATATATTATCGGGCATATATGCCACGATAGTGACATAAACTCTAAATATAGTTTACTCACGCCTCTTTTTTTCTGGTGGCTTCTTTTTTCAGTGATTTCGCCTTCTCATCCGAACTGCAAATAGAAGTTTATTCTGAACCACCAGTTATAAAACATAATTGTGTTATGTTAATATATCAAACATCATTTTCAATTACTTGATTGGACCAAAATGTCTACAATATCATCAGAAAATAATATCATAATTTTCCCTCCACACCTCAAATAAAAATAATTTTGATTCTTTTACATTTCAATTGATATTTTGACAAATATGCATGGCCGTAGGCACCGGGAGTTTGGTGGGTTCGGATGAACCCCCAGTCAGCATTTCCAAAAACGAAATTTTTGCCCAAAAATTGATTAATAATAACCAATAATCTTGTGCAGTTTGAAGACTTTACTATGACCAGTAAATAAATAAATTTATACTTTCTACAAATGTTTATTATGTGAACTCAGCTAGTTTATGTTTAGTGAGCAGTCAATTTTGTTAATTCTTTAGAAAGACGTCAGATTTCGTTAAATTATGACACGAATTGACCAGTGGCTTTTGTATCATCGTTAAATCACACCAATCTTCAACAGTATTTTCAAGCGTAAAACAGACCGTTGGCCCTATGTTTTTTTTATATCAAAATAAACATGAAAACACCTTTCATCTTAACATCTTAAAACTGGTGGAAATATACAGCCTTCAAATTTGTGGGTCTCTATTTTTGTTTTATTAAAAAAATATTTAGCCTAAAAATATTTATTAGGAAGTCCCTGGAGCTTTTAAGTCCTCTATACAAAATCAATTGAATTAAAGGTTTAATAAGTAGTGCAGAGACATATCCAACGATCATGGATTTAGTGTCGAAGTTTGGATATTTCATCAGGGCATTTATTTTCATTAGCTACAAAGAATACCCCTGAACATCCTTATTTCTGCCAATATTCACAATTAAATCACTCAAAATCTTCTCCCGATAAAACATGACAGAAATTTTTTACAGTTCATTTTACATACAATTTTCTTACATATAGTTCATTTTCATATAACATTTCTAGGTTTGCATAGTTGCCGTATTTATATTTGCTAATACAATTTTTGGCTATCAAAACCAAATTGTTTATAACATCATTTTCCGTTCCAAACAGTATATCCCTTGTTGACAAACGTAATATTTTGTTATGAATTACATTGAACTTGTCTTGTACAACTTTCCATAATCCTTTAACCATTTTACAATCGACAAAGAAGTGTTCATATGTGTCTTTTATAGTTATACAATATTTACAGTTTACATGTTCCGAAATTTTCATTTTGTATAATAACATGTTTGTAGGGTAAATTTTGTGTAAGACTTTATATTGCAATGTTTTGAGTCTCGGCTCTTTGATGTTTGAAAATTTATACCATATAGTTTTCCAACTCAAATTTTGATAAATTTGGTTCCATTTTTCTTCCACTTTGGGAATCACTAATTCTTTTGCCAAAATCATGTTTCTAAAATGTTTTGCTGTGGTATCTTTGACAAACATTTTATTATATTTGAATGATATTTCTTTGTCTTGAATATCAACATTGGTATTCAAAAGTGCATTCTTGACTACATTGTACTGTAGTAAGATTGCAGCAATCCAACAATCTGTACAATTTCATCATACTTTTTCATATTACCATCCTGATTAAATAAATCTCCTACCCTTACAATACCTTGCTCAATCCATTTTTTGAAATACACATTTGATCTTTTGAATTGTATGTTCATATTATTCCAAAAACATCTTGCTTTGAAACTCTATTTTTACCTTGATGTTTCTATTGTTGAGCCATTCTTTGATTAAATAACTCTGGAAGTTTCTCTATTTCTAATTTACTTTTGAGATTCTGATAATTTGTTTGGTATTCAAATATAAGTGACCCATGTCCAGATACTTTCAAAAAATGCTTAAACAAATTGTGCCAACATGGGCGTAGCACTATATTTCTAAGAAGTACGCCAATGCGGGAACAATAGTTGCGCAAAGCAAAAAACGAGCATTTAGGGGGGTCTGGGAAAAATCTAATGCAAAATTGACAGAAAAATGCTCACTAGCCTTTTAATGATTTCCTGGTGACATTGACATTCGATTCCAGTCCAGTTTGCACCTAACGTTCTATTCAACATTCTGTTTGCTACAGACCATGCATATGTCAAGAAAACCTTAAATATGGGTAGATTTGAGATGTGTTTTAATCTTCGAGTTTTTTATTTTTCTTTGTGAGTGGGCCAGGCTAACTACAAGAGTCGGCGGTAATAGACCGTCAACCATGGTCAAATCGTGTACCATGCGTATGATAAAACCGTGTTTACATTATAACCGTGTCAATGCTTCGCGGTCGTCTGATATAACTGTATGCATGGTACATGATATGACTGCGGTTGATGGTCTATTACTGGCGGTTAGCCTGGCCCACCCATATTCAAGGTCTTCTTGACATGTGCATGGTCTATAGTAAACATAATTTTGGATAGAACGTACAAATGGGGCAGGAATCCAATGTCAGTATCACCGGGAAATCATTAAAAGGTTAGTGAGCATTTTTTCTGTCAATGTTTTATGGATTCGGGATAAGATTTTTGGTGATTTAATTGTGAATATCGGCAGAAATAAGGTATGTCCGGGGGCTTTCTTTGTAGCAAATCAAAATAGATGTTTCCCTTGATGCTATATACAAACTTTGATATACTTTTGACACAAAATCCATGATTGTTGGATACATCTCTACACTATTTATTCAACCTTTGAATCCACTTATTCACTAAACATATGTTGAATGACATTAACATGATCCACTAAAATTTGATATTCATGAAAAACGAGAGCAATATACTAAAACACTTAGAATTTAGACTTCAATAATCTCTAAGATGAGTGGAGAGCACATGCATTTTTTACCCCATACTGAGTACTTTTTTAATTATTTTGGCCATTTTTGAACTAACATTGCTAAAAGTGAACTCCCCCTGGAATTTCTTAACAAGAACACAAATGTGTACAAAATGTCCCCACCAATGGGTGATCCCGTCAAATGGTTATCCTGAAAATAAGTAGACAATACTTTACTGACACAATTTGAGGACGGATAATCCAAAATGGCCGCCTTAAAATTTACCCAGATTTCCCAAAAATTAGTTAGTTCTAGATTTTCATACTAAGAACCACCCCTGAAAATTTGAAATTGATCCGTCAAACAGTTAAACAAGACTTTACAGACAAGATTTTAGGATGGAAAATCAAAGTGGCTGCCTTGACAATTACCCTGAATGACAAAAAACTAATCAGTTCTAGATTTTCATACTAAGAATCATCTCTGAAAATTTGAAATTGATCTACCAAACGGTTCACCTGAAAATGCGTAGACGAGACTTTACAGACAAGATTTTAGGACAGAAAATCCAAAATGGCTGCCTTGACATTTACCCAGAATGCCAAAAAACTAATCAAATTTAGATTTTCATACTAAGAATCATCTCTGAAAATTCGAAATTGATCTACCAAAAGTTCACCCAAAAACGCGTAGACAAGACTTTACAGGCAAGATTTTAAGACGGAAAATCCAAAATGGCTGCCTTGACATTTATCCAGAATGCCAAAAAACAAATCAGATTTAGATTTTCATACTAAGAATCATCCCTGAAAATTTGAAATTGATCTAACAAACAGTTCACCTGGAATGCGTAGACAAGACTTTACAGACAAGATTTTAGGACGGAAAATCCAAAATGGCTGCCTTGACATTTACCCAGAACGCCAAAAAAACTAATCAGATCTAGACTTTCATACTAAGAATTATCCCTGAAAATTTGAAATTGATCTACCAAACGATTCACCTGGAAATGCGTAGACAAGACTTTACAGACAAGATTTTAGGACGGAAAATCCAAAATGGCTGCCTTGAAATTTACCCAGAATGCCAAAAAACTAATCAGATCTAGACTTTCATACTAAGAATCATCCCTGAAAATTTGAAATTGATCTACCAAACGGTTCACCTGAAAATGCATAGACAAGACTTTACAGACAAGGTTTTAGGATGGAAAATCCAAAATGGCTGCCTTGAGATTTACCTAGAATGCCAAAAAACTAATCAGATCTAGATTTTCTTACTAAGAATCATCCCTGAAAATTCAAAATTGATCTACCAAACGGTTCACCTGAAAACGCGTAGACAAGACTTTACAGACAAGATTTTAGGACGGAAAAACCAAATTGGCCGACAATAAAAAAGTGATTATGAGTTTTTGCTGATTTCCTTTTACAAAATTATCACATATAACTACTGTTAACAATAACATGGGCTTTTACAACAAAGTACACCTGAAATTATTTATTAAGCTACCAAATAGTTAAAGTATGAAAACTCAAAAACACCATTCAATATGATACAAAGTATTATCGCGCGCCAACTTTTCTTAAGACATTCAAAATGGCTGACATGACTGAGGTAACATGTCCAAAACCTAATCAGATGTAGAATGAAGTGAGCTTTACAAGATGTTAAAATTATAAAAGCAACTGTGAAGCCGTTTTTCTTAAAGTTTGCAGACAAGGATTTTAGCATTTGACCTCTAAATGGCTGACAGGAAGTAGCTATCACGTTAATTTTTTTCATCCACATCTGTATGCACTCACAAGTTATTCCTGAAAATTTGAAGGTGATACCTGTAGTGGTTTTGGAGAAAACTGCCGGACGTGCGGACGGACGGACAGACAGACAGACAACCAGACGGACGGATGGACGCGCCTAGAACGACAATATTGCCCCACACTATGTGGTGGGGACATAAAAAGTAACCCACCCCTTGGCAAATCCTGGCTACGGGTCTGAAACGTCATTCTGATCTTTCTGTTTCACCTGAAACATGCTCTGATATAATGAGGCATATTCTGTGATCTGAGCATATCAGATGGAAAGAGTTATGACTGTCAATAAGTGTGATTGTTATCATGTAATCATCTACCTTAATGTCAATACATTACATAATAGTAAGGCATTGTATTTAGCTTATTGTCACTTGGATTGATCATGATGGGGTGACGGC